AGACATAGAAGTGTTCTGCACACCGTGCGCGAGGTGTCAGATGACGAAAACCGGACCACAATGGCCCAAAGGCCTACTACACAGCCTACCCATTCTGGATAGGCCGTGGCAGTCGATTGGCATCGACTTCATGGGGCCCCTGCCCAAATCCAACAACTGTGACTACCTGATGGTAGTCATCGACCAACTAACGTCGCTTGTACACCTCGTACCAACCACGACGAGCGTGTCAGCCAAGGGAGTAGCCTGGCTGTTTCTGAAGGAGGTCGTTCAACCCCACGGAGTTCCCGACTCCATCGTACAGAGACTTGAAGTTCACGTCGATCTTCTGGCGTGAACTACAGCGACTCATGGGGACTAAGCTCCTCATGTCAACTGCCTTCCATCCCCAACCAGATGGAGCCACCGAGCGGGCCAACCGCTCGATCGGCCAGATATTGTGCGCGGTCGTCAGAGACGATCAGAAGGATTGGGCATTGAAATGCCCAATGGTTGAGGTCGCCCTCAACAGCAACGTCAGTGCGACCACAGGGTTCGCACCTTTCGAGCTGAACCACGGCTATATGCTGTGGATAGACCTCCCCATAGCCGTGGACACCCCGTTCAAGGGGGTAGCCTGGTTCGCACATCAGGCAAAATGGAACCTGATGGCGGCACACGATGCAATCATAGAGCATCGAGTGACGCAAATGTTTCATGCAAACAAGAAACGTATGGTGAGCGACAGGTACGCGGCCAACGACCACGTCTACCTTTCGACACAAAACCTAACTCTCCCGAAAGGAAGAGCCAGAAAACTAGTCCTGCGGTACATCGGACCATACCGCATCGTCGAGGTTCACAATGACGCCTCGACGGTGACCCTTGATCTTCCCGACGAGCTGAAAAGCCATCGCATTTCGCCGGTCTTCCATTCAAGCCTCGTACGGCGATACGAGGCTAACAACGACAAATTGTTCCCTCGTCGTGAGGCCAAGTCATTTTATGACTTCAGAGCGAATGACGACGAGGAGTGGCTTGTCGATGAGATTATTGCACATCGATGGATAAACTCGACGGACCTGGAGTTCCAGGTCCGTTGGACCCTAGGCGGCGTGACATGGGAACCCATGTCGTCCTGCAAGGACCTTGAAGCCCTAGATAGCTATCTAGAGCTTCGGGGGGTGAGCAAGCCATGCGACCTCCCCAGACACCGCTAGACGCGTCTGTCATGTGCAGACCACGTGACACGCCGGCCATGGCGCGGTTAAATTTTCACCTCGGATCTTTCCGAGGGCGCATCGCCTCTTGGAAGCCTACCACCATCATCCCCACAAAGATGATGCCCCCAAAGAGGGGATGGACGTTGATCCGTAATGTCCACAACGCGAGCAACGTCCCTGAGACAGGGGGCCACAGATATTCTCCGTGCTCCAGTAGACCAGGAGGACTGGATGATCGTGGGATGGGAGGACGCCCTCACCATCGTCCACCTGGACGATCGCGCAACGTGCGCGGACTACGCTGTGCACTTAAGGGCCGCGACAGGCACCTGCAAGGTCAAATTGCGGGACGAAGACATCGGCGACGCCGTCGATGCAGCCTGGGGATGGCTCCCAAGGGGCATCGTGCGTGACGTGCGAGAAGAGCTCCTCCGGGACATCCACGACCTCAAAAAAGAGGTCAAGGAGTTGGAACGCGCGGTCGAAGACCGTGATGACGCGCTCGAAACCGAGCACGCCAAGATCAAGGAACTGGAGCAGCAGCTGAGCACAGCCCAGCTCCAGGTTACCGTGGTCCACACTGCCTCAAAAAGGCCGCCACATGACCCGGCCATGGACCCAGTGGCCGGGCCATCATCACCTCACGCGACGGCGCCTTTGCTGGTGTGCGCAACATCGGGGCTAGCGTCCCGATTGTCGGTGCCGACCCCGACAGAAGGGCATAGCGCGCCTTCCGACTCTGCATACGGCGTCCCAGAAGGATGGGAGTCAGACTCGTCCGTCTGGAAGACGTACGACCCAGAAAGGGCACAGCGGCTGGCAGAGCAGCCAAAGAAAAAGCGCAAGAAATTGCGCGGCACCCCCAACACCATCAATGGGCTAGCCATTGCGAGGGAAAGCACGATTAGCGCTTACCTAGCGGGTCGCACACTATCAACGACCCCGCCCTTCAACGGCGGATAGCACAGGTCAAGGCCCAGTACATCGGGCCTGGCGTGACCCTGCCTCCACCGGTGGGGACAGTTCACCCTCCCTACCCGGGGGAGGGGATGCTCATCCCACTCGGAGACCCACCGATCTCCGAGGCAGGCCTCCTACCACGGCCGGTAGGGAAGGCCCAACAGCATCGTACTCAATGGTACGACGTCTGCCCGCTCGATGACCCACGCTTTGTCGAACTCCTAGTGCAGGCGAAAGAAATGCCACAGCTCGCGCGTACGCGCGAGATGATCGGCGTATTTAAATGCATCGAGCGCGAACAACGTGCTCGCAATCCCAAAAGGGATTGTCTCGTGATAGCGGGCGGTACCCCACACGATATCGCGGCCATCCTAAAGGGTTGGATACACAACCCTGATGGAATCCCATCAGCCATCCGTGACAACGCGGATGGCACCTTCAACCTAGACGACATGGACGTCTGGATGTGGTTGAAGGCCCTTGCGCCCTGGGTCAAAGGGGTCGCATCACCTCTCAGGGCGAGGCTACTCAACCTATTTGGCTCGACAGACCCATGGTCGAGCCTCGTCGACGCCAGGGAAGTGCTGACACCTCAGAGCACCACCCTGCGGCTCTCCATCACAGGCCCATTCCCCGTGGGGGGCCGAGCCGGCCCCGACATCCCCCTCGCCGAGATCGCGAGATGGTTGGCCCGCTACACGGGGGTCACTCGCGGGTGAGTGGCATGCATTGAACACTATGTTCAACGCAGCATCACCGGCGCGGCATTCAGTGCTGCCGCCCGCGAGGGCCAACAAAAGGTCCTCGAGACCAGCCATGTGAGGGCCGCGGTGCCACGACCCCTCACTCACGCTCAGCCCGACCAAGAGCTGGCACGCTTCCGGCCCCCTCCTCAGACTGAGGACCCGGCCGTTGAGGCCATGCTCCGTGAGGACGCTGGCCTCATCACCCAAGTGGATACCGCCGCTAGTGGTGAGGCCGACCAGCCTCACCCAATCACCACCGATGACGTGGAGGTGCCCCCGGAGGAGTCACACGCTCCACCGGCCCCGTGCGACGACGACGTCATCGTATCGGCCACTCTAGAGGACTCCATTATGGATGACCTCTATGAGTTGTAGTTGACCCCTATAGTTGTCTATAGAGGGGGAGGGTGTAAATAACCTATGTATCTACATGTACAATAGTTATTACATAATCCCAGTGGGCCCCTTAGGGACCCACTGTATAGTTTATGCGTGGGAACCGGCCAGCGGTTCCCATCGCATCTTACTCTTACCTGTCACTACGTAGCATTCAGAATACCACTCATTGGTCAAGTTCTGCAGTGCCCTTGTGATACAAGCTCGTAAGGTCGACACCTTTACACCTCTCATCCTTACTACTTTGGCCTTTTGGGTCTTCATCGTGCTGTTGGTGAAGGTCTCTGAAGGAGAGCCTTATGAAAGGACTGTTCATCTCTGAACAGCCTTCTCACCAAACCTCACATGTTACATTGATGAGCAACATGAGCTATTTGCCTAAACTGTAGATTAGGGTATTTTACTTGCATCACCCTCTATCTTGTAATCTTTACTGGTTTGGCATTCTTCACCAAACCACATACCTTGCCACACAAGGCATTCTGGGATTCACTGTGTTTTCATATCTGGTATTTGTCAGGGGACACCCTGTTTTCCATTTCCATTTCCAGTTCCGACACCACACCCAGTTCCGACTCCATTCCGACTCCGGTTCCGGAGTTCCACTCTCGGAACAGTGTCGGAAATCAAGCGACTCGCATAATAGGTGGCATCAAGGGTCGATCAAGGGTCAGGGAGGTCAGGGGGATGCAGGGTTGATGGCGGGTGCCAAGTGTTGTCCCTGGCTGCGCAGCGTAGTATAATACGGGCTCGCTGACATTGGGGGTCCTTAGACTTTTCTCTTTGGATTTCCCCTTGTCAGGTGAGAATCCCCTCTCTTGTATACTCTATTCATTTATACATACTTTGGATTTCCCCTTGTCAGTTGTGTGGTAGTGTGATCTCCAGAACCAGCCAGGGTTGCCCTTACAGTATTTGCTGACACATGATATTAACATCCAAATCCAATCTTGACTCCACTTCACTCCAATGCTGGTCCAGAAGTGGAGGTGTGGAAGTGGAGTGGAAGTGATGATCAGGCCAGAACTATTGGAAATGCTTGGAGCAGAAGGGGGACTGGGAACAGAGTAAGCAGAACTTGTGGTGGATTCAGAACTGGAAAAGGGTGTCCTGACACTTCTAGACATGTTTAATGGTAGTACTCATGTCGTTTTAGCTAATGACAAAATTAATACCACACTGTGTAGAAAAGTCCACAGAGTCAGCAAGGAAGGTTCACAAAAGAAATTAGAGAATTGTACTAACACAATGGTGATTGGTGAAATATAAGTAGGAAGTTCTTTTACAAAATATAAGCAAGTACACCTAGCGGGACTCGAACCCGCAGCCTCCAGATAGCAATGACTAAAATTACCAGAAATAGAAGTCTGGCGCTCTGCCATTGAGCTATAGGTGCTTAGACAAGCTTCGGTAATGATTTGTATACGGACGACTCGTCCCAATTTTCCACAGTAAATGACTAAGAGTACTTATGTGCATGTGGGAAATTGCGACCAAAAAGTCAATAGAACAAGGGAGATTTTTTGAAACACCGCCTCTGATAAGCTCTTTCCTTATTGCCACCTCATACCAATCCTACTAAACCAAGACCTTTATTTCTTCAAGCCTACCGGGTAATATGTCTACAAATTTGGACAAGAGCCTCGACGAGGTTCGCTTTCGAACTGATAGATCGGCCCTGAAGCATCCTCAAGGTGTTCTGCCACAAATAGGTTATTGCAACTCGTAAAACTGGCCGTCGTCTTCCTCATCGTGGCGCGAAGGCCGGCTTAATTGGTTCTGGGTCGCCTACCATTGCGCACGCACGCGTTAGATCAGCCAATGTCCCCCTTGCCCACGCTACAGCTCAACAAGTTGCTGACAAAATCATTGTCTCCAACCTACCTATAGACGTGAATGAATCTCAAATCAGAGTATGTCCTTCATGTTGTGGTGGAATAGTAGACCTTATAGTCCACCTCCTCTCAGGAACTTTTTCAAACCATGATCGGTCCCTTGCGAGAAGTTACCCTCACATACGACGCTACCGGTCGGTCCAAAGGCGTTGCTTCCGTGGTCTTTCAAAGGAAGGGAGATGGCACTAAGGCGTATACACAGTATCACAATCGTCTCATTGATGGGAGTTAGTGTCCAATTTCCTGTCCGGCTCACCCTATACCCTACCTCCCACCTTCATCACGTCTTTCTAGCATGCGTTGCTTCGCGTTCCCTGTGCCACGGGATTGATCAAGATTATTTATCTCGGTCAGCCTCTTACACTGCGATACCCTCTCGACAATCGGCAACGTTGGCGCACCCCACACCCCGTTACTTTCGCAAATTACTTCACTGGTTTGATTTTGAGAGGATGTTATTCTTAATACTTCCGGTCACCACCCCATCATTTTATTGTCGACCATTTACTCTATGTAGGCCCCGTGGAACGTTGACATAGGGCCCGACCGAACGTGGCGGTCTCTGGCATGCGGACCTCACTGGTTCGAACCCTTTTCAGAGCGGGAACGTTGTGCCTTCGGGCCAAACAATATAACCGCTCGTCCGCTCTCGTCCATCACATCATCCTAGATGATGTGGTATGACAGGCCCGTGGTCTCGGCAGATTTATCCTGCGGTGATGCGCAGGTCACGAGTATCACAGGCCGTAAGCGGTGGGTTGCCGAGGGCAAGGGGCAGTTTCGTGAGTTTTTTGAGGAAGAATGCATTGCAGGGGGGTGGTTTGTTTCTTAGCTTGGCGGGGTTACTTTTTGGTGGGGTTGGACCTTACAATTTGGACCTATTTACGAGGCCGCCATCTTGAAGATCGGGGAGTACGGAGAACACGGAGAACACGAAGCAACGCATGCCACTGGAACCCTCATCCACCATCCTTACGTCTATCTTTCTGCGTGTCCTTGCCGCTGAATACATGGCTAACCACACATTTTTGGTTTTATTTTACTTTGTTTTGCTTTCTTCCCCTTTTTTTGTTCTCTCATTCACCACGACTTTTTCTTTTACATATTTTGTCATCCTTTTGCTTCATATTTAAGCAGAGCGTCCCATGAAGATCGAGATAGTTCTCGATCCCTCGAAGCCTGCACCCCTAGCTTCCTTGGTCGCCCGCGTGGCTGCTGCCCCCACAGCTGAGAACGGCACTGCCCAGAGGTATGGTCATGCGATTGTACTATAATATGATGTCCTCACCGGAAAGCCCCAGTTTAAGCGGCCGGGGTATGGGTGGAAGACGTGGGGGCCCCAGAAGGGGAAGGGGCGGCAGGAGACAGGATAATGACCGGCCTGCTAAGACGGCAGAGGATTTGGATGCTGAGATGGAGGTGGGTTGATAATCTTTCACCATCGCTTTATCCTAATGCTCGGCCACAGGACTACACTGGAACAGCTCCAGCTGCTACAGCGGCCTCCGTATAAACAGCTAGCCGCGACAATTGTCAATTATGTTATCCCCGCGACGTGTCGCAGACATTGATTGATATTAGTTGCGTCAGTAATTTCTTGTGCTATAACATTTACCTAGGTGCCTCCCAAAAGCTTTCTGTCGTATAGGTATCATCCTTGTATTCCCTGTCCTCGTGATGAAACTGGATCTTGCAATGCTATACAGTGCGTTAGTTGTATGCCATTTCTGAGGTGACAAGTGATCGTACAAGATTCACAATGGTTTGCCCATATACACAGCAAAATATCGGTTATGAAGCATCGACCTCGATTATGTGGTTGGGGGCTTCCGAGACTTCTTTGCACCCTATAGTTGTTGCTCCAGGTCAGCGAGGGGCATAGCCTTGTGGCCCAGATATGCGCCCAAAACGCTGGCAGCGGCCCTGCTCGCCAGCATACACGGCTTTGGTCCTTTATCATGCTCCTTCGTAACGGATATCACGTTCTGTACTCGTGCGTGACGTTCTATGTCGCACACTTGTCGGTAGAGCCGGATGCGCATCCGTAACGGATCAATCACGTTCTGCTAGGGGCCACTTGATCATCTCAAGTGACGCTACCAGCTCATTATGAGCCCTGATTTCTGCGGGAGCCTGGGTTTCACAATACACCGAACAATGTTGCCGGAAGACACCCATAAGCTCAAGGGCACGGCGTTGGGGTGAATAACGTAAGCTGTGCATTGGGAGGTGCGGGTCACCTGCCAAGAAACCACGATACGAAGAACATGAATGATCCCAAGTCGTGCATAGATTATGAATGGAATAGTCATGGAAAGAGCGTAAAGGGAGGGGGTATCGAGGTCCACAAGAGATCCACCCAGCTGGCCTCTGGAATGCATCCGCAGCAAAAGACTACTAACATACAATCATGGAATAAAGAATATCTAAGTAAAGGATCCAGTAACGACAATTCCAACATGATGGCTTGCGCAACCGGAGACTCCGTTGTAAGTTGGTCAGAGTCTGTGGCCCGGTACAGCCCAGAACAAAAGTGTCAAGGCTGCGACAAGACCCGCAATGACAAGAGACACCCATAAAGCTCGGAACATAAGCAGTCTCCCCACAAATGGCTCCTTGATAGCGAGTGTTCGGAAAGGTGTCGTCTCGGACTGGCCGAGGAAGACAAGAATAGGATCGAGTTCATATTGGTGAGAGATGAGGAGAAAGATGGCCAATGCGAAGGGAATGAAAAGCTGTGGAAATGAAGTCAAATTCAAGGTCGGGCGTACAAGAGTGACACGTACGAAGAACCGCTTTGATTTTGGCTGGACATCGAGGAAAACAAGAGCGAATGCTGTGCCTAAACCAGCCCAAAGAACCAGCAAACCAACTACTAGCCTCACAAGCGCGCTGACAGGAGTCAAATTTCCAAAAGCTTTCGCCCTCAAGAACCGAGGGAAGGCATCCTGCTCCATCGCTCTAAAACAATACTCCTTCTGCGCATGAAACATATCGGGCACCTGTGCAAGGGCTGATGCTTCGATCTCGTATTCGGGGCTAGTCGTATTAGGAAGTTGTGTGCTGGATAGCGGGAAGGTATGAATGCGGAGTGACGGTGGGAGGTATATTTCATGTGAGGGCTGATTTGGGGGAGGGGGTGCAAGATAGCGGAAGAAAATACGCTCAGCAGACGAAATGAGGTCAACTCGGGTAATGGCAGATGAGCGGGGTATGATTGTGGGCGCGCGAGAGGCGCGTTTCGAAGAAAGGGAATGGCGTGCGCGAAGTTGGGAAAAGGGCGTCGAAGAGCGCGCAACGTCGCGCTCTTTTTCATCGGCGGAAATTGCTACAGCTGGTCCGGGACTAACTGACCGCTTTCCGTCAAGCTGCGGTGAAACCGATGACGGTCCCGCCCTTGCAAGCGCCGCTTTCTCACCATCCGTGAGCATCTCCCCCGTGCTTGCAGTGCTTCGTTTAGTATTTGCTCCAGGGTTGATACCTACGACATTTCCGTAAATACTGCCACGCTTGCGAGCGTAGTCCCAGTATTGAGGCCAGTCGTCCTTTATGGCACGGCCAGACTTGCGGACGTCCTTAAAATACGCTCGACAAAGGTTCTCATGCTGCTGAACATCGAGCCAGAAATCCAGAACATCCTCTTGACCCTCGCGTTGTAAGAAGAGATAGAACATGAAGAGATCCACAGGTGGTCGAGTCCGACGTGACAGAACTTCTGTGAAGGATGGAAGCCTGGCAGCATGTTAAACAGAGGAAGGCTGTAACAAGAGAATAAACACCTGTTGAGCCTGTCTTGCGACCAATCGTCCTGGGACACTCCGTTCTCCATAGCGTCGAAAGGAAAGGTGTGACGTTGGGCTGTTTACACAAGGTTTGGCTTAGGCGCCTACCCACGGTTTCCAAGGCCTGCGTCAAGATGTCCACCCTCACAAGGGCTCTGTCGCCAACTATCAGAGAAATCAGAGTCCTGCTATCTCAGTCGGGCCAAGCATCTACAGGTACCAGGTGTGTATACTGCACTAGTATGAGCTTGCAAGTCTAACGCCGCATTGGAGGCAATTCATACAGACATCGTACCCTCTATTAAAGAAGAACAACCCTGACCTTCCAGTCCTCATACGGGAAGTCCAAGACACGCCCGCTCGAGTATTTGCAAGGTTTGGTGCGTGCTTCACGTTCCGAGCACAGATTTTCTTTGTCTGCTCATTCTTTGCTGCTCAGAACGTGGCGTCGAGAAACATGTCGAGCTAGATAATCTTTCTTCTGCAGATGTCGAGAGAAAGGTCTCTGATTTGCTGACTGTTTGAGAAGAAGCGTGGAAAAGACGACGCGCGTATGTATTTTGATTATGCTGGTTTGAATATACTCATCGACGAGGTCTCATCCCCAGTGAGAATCCACCCGTATCCGGGGGGGTCGCAGCGTTCAGGTCGGTGAAAACCACGGTGCCGGTCTGACCATGCTGGATCAAAGAATTTTGCAACCACTTTTATCGATTCAC